CAGCTCGAGAAGGCGCTTCGTCTGGATCTCGCGGCGGATGGCCTGGGGAGACTTGAGACTTGTCCAGGCCGGCGAAGATGGGCACCTGAGTGCCGCCCTCGAGAGAGGCCGCTGTGAAGCGGCGCCATGAACCATCCTTCTTGAGCTTCTGGAAGGCCGAGATGACACGGCGAGCAGCCAAGCCCTCAGCGCCTCGCAGGCGGGGGATGTGGCGGCGGCCAGGGGATGCACCTTCAAGCGACCAGTGCTGGTCCTCGATGTCGGTGTCCGCCAGCCAGGGGCGCACGCTTGCGAGGACCGCCTCCGAGGTGACCGCTTCCTTGGCCGTGATGACGAAGATGGACTTGTCGGGCTCCCTGATCCAGCCCGCCACGCCCCCAAGATGCTGGGCAGGTGCCGCCGCCTCGCACGCCGTGACCACCTTCTCCAGCTTCGCCAGGGCCTCACGCATCTCCTGCTGGTCTCGCTGGATGCGCGACACTCCGCGGTCGAGGTCCTGCAAGTGCCTGTCGATCTGCGCATTCTTGGCAGCCCGGCGCTCGCCGAAGACGCGGAGGGCAGCTGTGGTGGTCGCGGCGATGTTGGCGGACATCTTGTTGTTGGCGTCGGAGACGTAGCCGACGATGGAGTCGCGCATGGCCCCCAGGATTTCCTCCAGCTCCGAGTGCAAGACTGGCCCGTCCACCCCCGCAGCAGGAGCAACAGCAGGCCGAGGTGAACCAGGAACGCGGTGTGAGTGAGCTCTGTCACGGCCGCTGCTACGAGGTGTCCTTGGGGTCGCAGGGGGAGTGGCGGCGATCGGCGCGGCCGTCCCTTGGCACCCATTCCCGCGGGCTCGCCAGGGGTCAGCGCTGGCGGACTGGAAGGGGTCGTCCGTGCCTGCACTCCGACTGCGATCATCGCCCTCTCGTGGGCTGCCGCGCCGACGCTGCCCACTGCCAGCGCCACCAGAAGCTTTGCCAGCCTTGCCGGGCCGCCGAGACAGAGAGGCAGCGCCATCGGGCATCCCACCCGCAGGAGAGAAGCGGGTGGGGAACGTGGGCGTCGAATGCTGGGGCCCAGATGGGCAGCACAGGCCACAGTTGGTGAGGGGGTCTTTGGCCTCAAAGCGCGAACCCCCTCGAGCCCAAAATGGCCACGGATGTAAATGCATTCGTATGTGCATGTGTATGTGTACGGACATAGTTATGTGTACATGTAAGCATGCATGTAGGTATGCCAGAATTCTCGTATGTACGTATGCCTGCACATGGGTACGAGTGTATGTCTGTCTGTATGTGTATGTATGTACGTATGTATGTGTATCTGCATGTGTGTCTGTATGCATATATTTCGAAGTGAGAGGGTGCGATCGAAGTGGGACGGAGAGCCGCGCTACCTGGAAATCGGTTTCGGTTTCGTGTTCGTGCGTGCCGTGCGTGCGGGCGAGGCGAAGCTGCGTGGGCGGGCGAGAAGTGTCCCGCCTCTGGCTGAGGCGCGGCCGGACCAAATGTTTCCTGTCCAGGGCCCGGTGGCGCGCGGGTTACCTTGATGATGTTGATGAAGGTGGAATGGTGAGATTATGATGACGATGATTATGAAGATGATGATGATGGTGTCCCGGTGGTGATGATGATGATGATGATGATGCTGTTGGTTCTGTGATGTTGGTGATGATGATGGTGTCCCGATGATGATGCTGAGTTTGACGGTGATGAAGATGATGGTGTCCCGATGATGCTGAACATGAGGGCGATGATGAAGTGATGATGATGATATTGATGATGGTGGCCCGATGGTGATGATGCCGATGTTGATGATGATGGTGTCCCGATGATGATGGCGATGACGGTGGTGATGATGGTGACAATGATGATTGTGTCACGATGATGATGATGATCTTGATGATGATGATGTTGCTGATGACGATGATGGTGTCCCGATGATGATGATGCTGGTGCTGTTTTTCCTGATGTTGAGGATGCGATGCTGATGGAGATGATGATGATAGCGGCGTTGTTCCGATGATGATGATGGTGTCCCGATGATGATGTTGCTGATGCTGATTGTGACGATGACGGTGTCCCAATGATGATGGTGATTATGCTGATGATGATAACCATGGTGGTGATGATGAGGGTGTCCCGATGATGATGGCGTGGATGATGCTGGTGTTGATGATGATGATGATGGTGCCCCGATGATGATGATGATGCTGATGACCTGGGTGGTGTTAATGATGATGAAATGATGAAATGCTGATGGTGGTGATGCTGTCCCGATAATGACGATGATGAGGTTGATGATGATGCTTTTGATGATGGTGGTGATGTCGATAATGGTGCTTCGAAGATGATGATGATGGTGATGTTGATCATGCTGATGACGATGATGGTGTCCCGGTGATGATGTTCTTGGTGATGAGGATGACGCCGAAGTGTTGATGATGATTTTGGTGATGGTGAACCGATGGTGATGAGGATGAGGATGTTGATGATGATGCCACATTGATGATGATGGTGACGATGATGGTGGTGACGATGATGATGGTGTCCCCAGGATGATGACGTTAATGCTGATGTTGGTGATGGTGATGGTTCCCCCGATGATGCTGATGATGTGGGCGATGTTGTTCATGATGGTGATGATATGATGATGGTGATGGTGGTTATCCGATGAAGATGATGGTGATGGTGCCCCGAGGATGATGATATTGATGACGATGATGGTGACGCTGATGGTGTCCCGATGATGGTGATGCTGGTCATGATGATGATGATATGGATGGTGGTGGTGATGTGGTAATGATGATGATGATGTTGTCCCGACGGTGATGATGTTGATGACGTTGGTGGCGATGATGCTGATGATGATTGTGAGATCGATAGTGAACTTTAATGGTGATACCGAGCGGGAAATGGATTCTGAGATCGATCGTGGGATCGTTAGTGAGCTCGATTGTGAGATCGACAGTCAGATCGATTGTGGGATCGGTCGAATGAAATGGATCGGGTGATATCGATGTTGAGATCGATCGAGTGAGATCGAACGAGGGGGGCCGATAGTGAGATCGATAGTGAGATAGATAGTGGGACCGATCAAGTGAGACGTTGGTTCCTCCCCCCCCCAACTTCCTTATCTCCCGAAGGGTGGTCGTATAGGAATGCATGGATGTATGCACGTGCTCGTGGCCATGTCTGGATGTGTTTAAAAAGACAGCTATGCAAGCAAACACATGGATATACATACCTATACGACCACCCTGCGGGTGATAAGGTGGTTTGGGAGAAGCAGCAATGGGCAAAAGTGGTGATTGTTGTTCTGACGATGCCTGTGGGGCAGAGTCAAGTGAGTAGTGTGATTGTGCACGTGAGCGTGATGAGATGTAGCGATGTTGGCGAAACGCGCTCGACATTGTCGTGAAGCGCTGTCCCCGCGTGCGCTTATCAATCGCGCGAACCTCACCGCAGCACTAGTCGACGTGGTCGAACGTGCGTGCTGCGGTGCCACAGGAGGATGTCGGGACACCAGCGGGGCACAGGCGGGACACCGCGCGCCACCTGCCGCCTGAGGAGAAGCATTTGGTCCTCTGGCCGCGGCCAAGCCACAGGAGGATTTCGGGACACCAGCGGGACACCGGCGGGACACCGCGGGCCACCGGCCGCCAGAGGAGAAACATTTGGACCGCCCACGCAGCTTCGCCTCGCCCGCACGCACGCACGGCACGCACGACACGAACCCGAAATCGATCTCCCGGTTAGGGGGGTCTCTGTTTCACGTCGGACTCACTCCCCAACCTCCGATGTATACATATAACTAAAGAGAGAGGGGGAGAACACAACATCTAGAAGCAAACATTTAGACACACACACACACACACGCACACACACATACGTATATCCGTACATCTATAATACATATATATAGTTATTGGAACCAGAGAGTGAGAGGCAGAACGCGATAATAGAGGACACATTGCATGATGGGGATACGGATGCATATGTATAAACACACATATATATATGTATACACACGCAGCGACACACATACAACAATTGTCGATGCTAAGGGGCTTCATGGAATGAAGGAGTCACATGTCAAGGGGGGTGAACAGTAAAGAGTGAAGATAACCGTTGTCGCCATCAATTGCACGTGCCCGCCAACACGACGTTGCAGACGCTGCTGGGCTTCTCCAATACACTTTTGCATGCTATGGCGCGTTCTGATATTGTGCCAACTGCACTCGTACGCTCGCTTCAGCAGAGCGTCAACGATGAATCACTCCAGACTTGCTACCGAGAGCGACCAACCGAATTACAGCGTTGGGAATTACAGCCAAGGTCTTCCTGGCGCTCTTCGCGTTTTTGTTCTGCTGATGGCGCGTCCGTTGTACCCTGTGCTCCTGGTCCTGCCAGTGGCGGGCCTGCATCTTGTTTCGCAGGCGAATGGGAGCGTCGCTCTGCGCAGAGAGGAAGGAAGAGGGATGGGGAGGGGCAGGAATGGACATGAACAGGGGGAGAGACCGGGCAGGGGGGAGTGAGGAGGGACGCGCCCCTGGCATTCTACGATTTTGACACCCCCCGGCACGCTGCTCGACGCCGTCCATTCCGATTCCCCACACGGGCCTTTCACCTCCGCGAGCCGCAGACGAGCCCACGGCGATTTAAAAAGGGCCCCTGCGCCCCCTCCGAAACCGTGGATCGTCGCTTCATGGGGGGGGATGAATTTGTGGGGGGGAAGGAGAGTGCACTTTGTGGGCCCTAACGGCCCCCTGTTGGGCCTTAAAGGGCCGCTTCGGAGGCCCTCAAGGGCTCCTTCCCTGAAGCTCTCGATGCCCCCCCATTCTACCATCCCCCACTACGCGAAGTCCAAAGCCGACCCAGACCCGATGGGACGGGAGCGGCCTGGAGGGGCGCGGCGACACGGCAGACGACACGACGCGAACCGACCGGACGCAACCGACCGCCACGCAGCCGGGCCGACCGGACTGCGGACGACACCTCGAGAGCTGGGCCCCGCGCCTGTCGGCCCCCGCGCCGCCGTTCGGCGAGTAGAGCGATGCCTTCGTGTACTGGCCGCTGCCTTTCCTGGTTGCGCCGCTCGCGTTCGTTTTCCTCGGGTGGCACGGCGGGCCGAAACGGGCCGATGGCCGCCGCGCGCCGTGGGGCACTTTTGTTCACAAGCTCGAGCAGTGGCCCCGCGGCTAGAGGAACAGGAGGACAGCCGCATGGACTGGGAGGGCAAGAGAAGAAGCAGCAGCAGCAGCTTCGAACCAGTCGCGCAGGCAGGCTGGGAGGATGGGGTCCAGACCAGTCGCCAAAAACAGCCGCCAATAACAGCCAAGATCTGGTCCATGGGGGGAGGGGAGGGGAGGGGTCTGGGTCTGGGTCGGCGCTTAGTCGACCTGCTTTGACCAGTCGCGAAAGCAGGCTCGGGGGCGGTGGGGTCTGACCAGTCCCCATAACTACCGCCAAAAGCAGCCAAGATCTGGCCTACGGGGGGAGGGGGGGGGAGGGTGCCCGCGCCGATCGGCGAAACAACTCTCGGCGTGGGGTGACGGGGCCAATCAGGGGTGCTTGCAGGGGGCTCTGAGGAGGCCCCAGGCCTCCCTACGTCGGAACACTCTCGGCCTCTCGGCCTCTCGGCCTCTGAGGACCTCCATCACGAAGCCCCGGGAGCGTAACTAATCGGCTCGGGATGGAAAGCAGGGCCGTCCCAAGGAAGGGGTCCAGAGATCCAAGGGTCCACGCTGTTTGCTGGTACCTTTCCCCCCCCAAAAAAAAGCCTGCCGTCGGAGTTTTGTGGTAATCCAAGCTGAAACTCGACAGGCCCTTAGAGGAACCCGGGGCGGTCTCGACACCCCCGCGCTGCCCCCAGGGGTGCCTTCGAGTCGCGGAGCGGCCCACGGTTGGGGATGTTGCGACCGCCTGATCACAGTCTGCACTTCGGCGAGGAGGATGAGAGAGGAGGGGGAGGAGGAGGAGGAGGAGGAGGAGGAGAAGGAGGAGGAGGTGGACGAGGAGGAGGAGGAGGATGAGGACCAGTGTAAATCCAAGGGTCATCAACGATGTTGAAACAAACCCTGCCTCCAAGTTCCCTCTTCATAGGCCCCTACAACGGTTCATGTCCACTGAGGGCACTGCCTCGTCGGAAGGCAACCGTTTGAAGACTGTTGCGTCTTGACGAGTCCGAATCGTGCCAGAACGCCATTCCTGCGACTTCAACACCAAAAATCAACGAAACTGTTGCATCCTCATAATCCTGAATCCTTCCACAACATGACTCCTGGTACGCTGACCATGGGAATGCGCAAAAAAACGGTTGCAAATATTATGCACGAATGTGCGCGGTGCTAAGGCGAAACCGCATGTTAAAGAGGAACCACCGTCAACCCGTGGAGCTCTTGCAATTTTTTGTATTAAAAAATACACGCGGCGCTAGAACGACAACCACATGTTAAAAGGAACCGCCGTCAACCCGTGAAGCTCGGGTGAATGTTAAAAACGAATGTGCGCGGCGCTAGGGCGAGAACCATGGTTTGAAAACCATTTTCAATACATGCAACTTTTTTTTTAAAAAAAAAAAAAAAAAAAAAAAAAAAAAAAAAAAAAAAAAAAAAAAAAAAAAAAAAAAAAAAAAAAAAAAAACGAATGCGTGCGGCGCTAAGGCGAGAACCACATGTTGAAACCATTCGCCCTCAGTCCGTGAAGTTCCTGCAAGTTTTCCAACGAATGTGCGCGGCGCCAAGGCAAGAGCCACATTTTGAACACAGCCCGCCCTCCATCTGTGAAACCGTTGCCAATATTTACGCTTCAAGGTCGTAAGAGGTGAGGAATTGTCAGGCGGAAAGCCTGGCCCGCCCTAACAACTTGCCTCGGCGTGCGACGGGCAGAAGTTATGTTATGAAGGGAAAAAAAGGAGGAGGAGGAGAGGAGGAGGAGGAGGAAGAGGAGGAGGATGAGGAAAAACGAAATGGAGGAGGAGGGGCAGGAAGAGGAAGAGAAGAGACCCACCCCGCGGTGATATGATACTTGGCCTAGCGGAGCAGGGCTTGCAACTTAGGCGAGGGCCTGATCGACATTCCAACTCTCCCTGAACGCACCTCCGAAGCATATTCAGTACAGTGTGAAGGGGGGGTCGACGGGCTTGAAATGCAGAGTGAGCGGAACCCAGGACTAGTATGTGAGAGGGCAGGGCATCGGGAAATCCCACCAACCCTCTCGGCGTAGGCGGTCTAGGTCGCAACTCCCTTATTCCCCTTCGGGGAAGGGCTAACCCAACTAGACGGCTTGCGGGCGGGTGGGTAGATTGACCCTTCCCCCTTTATCCGCTCCCCTGGACCTGGACGGGGGGGGCGGCGAGGCGCTGGAGCGTCTAAGATGGCCCAGGGCGGTCCCAAGAGGGCCTCGGAGAGCCCAAGATGACCGCCAAGATGGCTCACAGAGACGATGTTGGGGGCTCCCGAGAGGGGGCGCTAATTAAAGTCCTCCAAGATGGCCCCCGGAGCGCCCCGAAAGCCCCCGAGAGCGCGCCACCACGGCCCCAAGAGGCGCCCAAGCGGGTCCAATAGGCCTCCAGGAAGCCTACCAGAGACCCGAGCAGGAGGCCGCAGCAGGATCCCCGAGGTACCCAACTCTCCGTCCCTCTCCTTCGTTTTCCTCCTTATCGTCCTCATCGTCCTGGCCCTACTCCACCTCTTCCTCTTCCTCCTCCTCCTCCTCCTCCTCCTCCTCCTCCTCCTCCTCCTCCTCCTCTTCTTCTTACTCCTCTTCCTCCTCCTCCTCCTCCGACGACGACGGCGACGATTCCTCCTCCATCCTCCCCATCGTGGGGTCTATGATTGCGCCCCCCACCTTGTGCTCTCTGGCATGCTGCCCTTCTTCCCTGGTCACTTCAACTCCCCTGGGCCCTGGGCATCGTTTCTGGATGCGCTGGTGGGGACACCGTGTTGACCACGACCTCGGCGAGAAGGTCGTGCGGCGTAAAGGTACGAAGCGCAGGTGCAACGGCCGAAATTAGAGCACGAGATGAGGGACTGGGCGGGACACGCGACGCGCCAACAATTCTGGGTAAAGAGATGCGAGAGGAAGGCGTTCATGGGATGATCAGCGTAGTTTCCAACACGAGAAGGAGAAACCGACATAGAAGGGGACGATGTACAGAGCTCCACCGGCGTTATGACATGCGAAGACGCACCCGCACGGACCCTGGCAGTGCCGACGGGTATTGTTCCAACCGTAGAAGGAGAACCAACGTTGCGGCATAAAGCATCGCAGCAAACGACGTGTCGATCTCTTCCTGGGGGATGCTTGGGCATCACTTCTGAAACCGCGGGGCTAAGATCCTCCAGACATGGGAGATGGAAGAAACACCAAAGAGCGCGCCTGCAAATCGTCTCTGGGCATGCCGACGCTGACGCGCGTCGGGAAGCCGAGCGATGAGCGTTGACTTGCAACCGTCTTCCATGAACTGGACGAACCGAATGTGTGTAGAAAGGACCAGCTTTGCACCAGAGCACGGTGTTTCGTCAGAGGCAGCGTCGGCCTTTAACGTGCGCAGGCGCTCGTGAAACATCAAAGGGTCATGCGCCACCGGCAGCCAAGCCGCGAATGACGATGTCTGGGCCTGCATGTCAATCTCATTCACCCTCGGAAAAAAAGTGGGCGGAACAGCGTGACGCGGCGCACAAGCCCACAACTGATGGGATTCTCGCTCGACTCCAACGCCGTGCCTCGTGGATCTGAAGCCTTAGGCGATGCGTGACGCTACGGGCAACTCATTTCTTTTGTGAACGACGGTGCTCGCGGTGACCCCCCCTCCATCGGTTTCACCAGGTGCGCCCGACGCATGAGTGCAGGTGGCTGCCGCATTCCAGGATCATCCAGGACCCTTGTGACCAATGATGTTTCCAAGCTATTTCCCCTGGAGGTGGAGCGCGAAACGCCCGGCTGGAACGCCGCCATTTTTGTAGAAGACGAGGGGCGCCCCCGAGGAGGGCAGCACTGTGCGTAATGATGGCGCACTTTGCGATGTTGAGGGGGAGGCCGGCCGAGATCCCACGCTTGCATATGGCGCGCACAGCCGATGCCAAGTCTGCAAAACTTGCAGCTGCCGCGGAACAAGGCCCGTCTGCGAAAGCTGGTATCTGCTTGAACATGATAGTGCCCAGGAAGGCTAGACGATGGAGTAAGGGTCAAGAGTCAACGCAAATCGAGCAACCGAGAGCAGACCCCCCGGGTGAACTCCTCCAACGGCCGCGAAGCTGAACTCGGCAGAACCATTCGGGCGAGACACGCAGACCATATTCGGATACAGCAGAGACAGCTACTACAATGAATTCGTGGATCTGCTTTCCCTCAGCACCCCCATGATCCAGCTGCGGCTGACTGAGGCGAAGGCCGCGCGGCAGTCGAACGGGCAGGCGTCTTTCCCTGAAAAACCTAAAAAGGTCGACCGCCGCAAGTGAAACCCAATCTGGGAGCCGCGCCCACGGTTGGCTAGCGACTGAGCGACGAGCGCGATCATCGTGACACTGGCGGGCTTCTTATCGGAATTCGGGGTGGGGGCGGGGGGGGCAAATCCCCCTCGCATTTGATTCGTGGCCCCATCTGGATCTGGAGCGCCGCCCTCGACGAGGAAGGCCAGGGCGGCGCCCTTGACATTTGGGCCGGGCGGGTTGCCAGCGAGCGCGAGCTCGTAGGCGGCGCGGAGAGCTCCTTGGGCATCGGGCCCAGCAGCCTGCCACGCGCTTCAACGAAAGTCGTCGGGGCCTTGGGCGGAGTCCTCTCCCCTAGTCAAGAGGTCCTGAAATTTGCCAAAAGTCTATGCCAAAAGGGGACGCCGCTGAATAGTGTTGGTGAACTGCTAATCACGCCCAGGAAACGGAACCATCTCATTGAGGAGCTCCTCTCCAAAAACAAGCTCCGCATGGCCGGCGGCGCGCGAGTGGGCAGCGCGATTAATGGTACCCCATCAACGTGACCGCGCGCTGTGTCCCTGCTCGAGCTCGTGGAAGGCGCTCGACGCGCGTGACGTGGCAGTCCGCGATAATCCTACCTGAAACATCAAACGAAACAGATGAGCGCAGAACTGCCACCACTCCGTCCAACTCAGC